CTAATTAGGGCAGGCCCACCCAAGACTACCTCCCTTTAGATTAAATCAAAGTCAGTGGACGAGGAACCTTAATTATTCCACAAAATCCCGTCACCTCCGCCATATCCTCTGGGTTAGAAGTGGACCCAGGTCCCACCCAGACTCAAAGCAAGCGAAACACAAATGCGTGGGAATTAGGGGGCCACTATAGAGTGGCCGGGGTGGTCGGGTGAGACCGCAGGATGTGTGGCCCATGGAGAGGGGCTGAGGTGGCTACGTGGGGAGTGGAGATCCAGGGAGCCTAGGGCCACCCTTAGGCCCTGCCAGTGCTATTTGAGTTTTTGGTTAATGTGGTTTTTTAAGACAGGGTCTCACTACAGAGCCCAGGCTGGCCTCAGACTCGCCGTCCTCCTGGCTCTGCCTCTGAGTGCTGAGATGACACGCGTGGCTTTGTTTACAGTGATTTCGCCCCGTGTGCAGCCCTGGCAGGTGGCTCTCTCGTCAGCCTAGGTCCTGGGTGAAGAAACTGAGGCAGAGAGAGAGGCAAGACGACTGGTAAAAAGTTAGGAGGTGCGAAAAGGGCTGAGCAGACACCGACCTGGGTCTCCAAACTCCTAGTCCGGTGCCCCTGTCACCGTGGAAGGTGTCAGCAAGACGGGGACAGGAGGCTGGGGAGAGGGGGAAGAGGGGGCTGGGGAGAGAAGAGAGAAGCAGAGAGGGAGGGAGGAGAGCAGAGGGGAGGGGGCCACAGGCGGAGGGTGAGGAAGGAAGGAGGAGCAGGAGGAGGGGGGGAGGGCAGGGCAGGAGGAAGGGGACACGGCGTCCCCCATGGCCAGGCTGCAAAGGACTCAGAGGGGAAAGGCCTCAGGACTCCAAAGCCAGACCAAGTTCAGAGCTTTCACTGCCAGACCATTTCAGTCGCACTTTTTATTATTATTATTATTAATTATTACCGTGGGGCAGTGCTGGGGTTTGAACTCGGCACCTTGAGCTTGCTAGGCAGGCACTCCACCACTTGAGCCACTCCTCCTTCCCCAGACCGTTTTCTTACCTTGGAAATCCACTCTGAGTCCCTGGGGCACAGCTTGTGCCCTGAGCAGCAGGAGATGGTGACACTGGTGAGTGACACTGGTGCGTGACAGGCACAGGGTGAGAGAGGACAGGGAAGAGCCGAGGGAAGGGAAGGGGCGCTGCCAGGGAGGACAGCACAGAATGCCTCAGTCCCCACCTGGGGGTCATGTGACCCGAGCCCTGGGGGGCCAATCTGCATATTCTCTCCTCCTGGACAGTGATTGGCTCCTGGATGGGCATGTGATCCAGACCATCCAATCAGCTTTACTCTTTCTCCTCTCCACAGTGAGGACAGAGCCTGGGCCCTGAGTGTCCAGCCGGGGACAGAGGGGAGAAGCCACCTCCTCCAGCAGGGGAAGGAAGGCTGGGCCCAGTCCTGGGAGGCCTGGATCCAACCCCACCTGAAGCTTGCTCGGGTTACAGAGGGAGAGGAGGCAGGGAGGGCTAGTTTGCAAGTCTTCCAGCCCCAGTGCCCTAGGAAGAGGGACTCCTCAGTGCCACCCTGTAGCTACCCCTGCCCAGGGAACCCTCAGCGGGCTGGGTGTGGGGGCCATGGCTGTAATCCCAGCCGTCAGGAGGCAGAGGCACGAAGTTTAAGCGTTCCGGGCAGCCTGAGCTGCATAGTGAGACCCTGTCTCAAAAAGCACAAAGCAACCAACCACCAGCGGATCCCAGATGCCCCGAGAACAGGACCGCTCCGTCCAGCACTGTGACCTCCTCTCCTCTCACCTGCAGGGCTGCTGCTCCCTTCTCGGGACCGGCCAACAGTGCCACCTGGCCACATCGCGGAAGGAGCCTCCCTGGCACGAGGCGCCCTGGTGACCACTGACCACAGTAACAAGCAGACCCTCAAGTGAGGACCTAGCTGCCGGCACTACACAACACCCAAGAGAAGCACCTCAGCGGGGTCAGAGAAAGAGTTGTCCCTGAACTGGAGCCCCCCTGAGCAGCTGCAACTGGACGGAGTTCTGTTAGGGCCCCGAAATCCAGGAGTGGCACTGGGCTGCCAGCATTCCAGGCTTCGACCAGAACTGGAAATGTGCTCCCAGCTGTTCTTCAGTTCTGACAGGCGTGTGTCACACGCACACACACATGCGTACACACCCATACATGTACACGTTTCACCTTCAAACGCCCACACGTTCCCACACCCACACGTCCACATAGCGACAGCCAAAGGTTATAAAAACCGACAAGTTTAGCCAGGCCAGGTGGCTTACTCCACCTACTCAGGAGGCAGAGATTGGGAGGATCGAGAATCAAGGCCAGCCCAGGCAGTGAGACCCCCATCTCAACCAACAACCCAGGTGTGGTAGTGCACAGGACACAGAGGTAGGAGGATGCTAGTCCAAGGCGAGCACCAGGCAAAACACCAGGCGAGACCTATCTGAAAAATAACTAAAGTAAAAAAAGTGGCAGAGCACCTGCCTTGCACCCGGCCAAAACAAAAAGACCTGACAAGTTTGTCTTAGTTGTTTTTTGGTGGTACTGGGGTTTGAACTCGGGTCCTCACGCTTGCTAGGCAGGTGCTCCCGCCAGCCGTACAAGTTTGTCTTACACGCTTCAGTTCAGCCTTCAAAATACAGAGCGGTGTACTCAAGCAAGCCTCACCTCTGCGCACGCACACACGCTCCAGCCGGGGCTGATCTTCCAGCGTGGTCGGCAGAACTCAGCTGGTGGAGGGAAGGTGGAGTCAGGTGGAGGCAGCCACCCTCCTGCTCTTCGTCATCAGGGAACCTCTCCACCTCCCTCCAAAGTCCCCGGAGCCACCCAGCTAGACAGCATGCCTCCCAGCCTCCCACATAGCAGAGGCGGCCGAGGGACACAAGCAGAGTGGACAGGGACATCTCCACCGCGCTCTGTCCTCCTCCTCACCCCGGGGCTGTTACAGGGAAGTAGACACTCCTGGTGGGCCGATTTGGGGGTACCATTACAGCAGCCTGGCCTACACCCTAACTAGTCTCCACTTAGCCCCATAATGTGTGCGGCTTCCCCCCCAAAGGCTGAGCCAGAGCCAGGGCATGTGGCCAGGTCCAAGAGGGAGCTTGATCCCCCGAGACCCTTAAAGGGCATTTGAAGGCCTGAGGGAGGGCCACCTCTGTCCACGTACAGCCACAGTCATGGACTGCTGACGCCCTTCCCCAAGCTCTGGGGCTCTGGCCACCCGCTGAGTGCAGGGGGAAAGAGGAGTGAGCCCCTCTCCGCCCCCCACCCCTGGCCCATCCCAGAGCTCAGAGCCACTGGGAGACAAGGGGGCGGCCACTCGCAGGGGGAGCTCCTTAGGGGAGAAGGCCCTGGGTGAGAAGAAGGGGTGCAGAAGGCATTGGCCCCCGGTCTGGAGGGGCTCCTAGAGTAGGAGCAGTCCTGGGGCCAGCTGCTTGGGGCGGCAGAATTCCTGGGGCATGCAGACCCCAATGCCTCCTGAAGCTGCTGGGGAACGGCAGGAAGACAGGGCCACACTGAGCCTGTGGCCACCTCCGAGAGGACAGGGTGGCTGCCGGCGGCTGGCAGACTTTTAAAGAGCAATGTTCAGGCCAAGGTGGCCCCATGCTGCAGGGAGTCTGAGTGGCTGCCGTTCACGCCATCTGTCGCTCGATAATAAAGTTGTCCAGCGTGGTTCATTAACAAAGCCACAGAGCTTAGTCAGCCGGGCCTCTTGCCGGAAGTAAAGGGTGGCAGATTAGGCCGTGAGGACGCCTCGGGCACCAGCCACATGGCAGGAGTTCCCGAGCACCTGGTAGGACAGAGCCTCGTGGTCCAGACAGGAACTGACCTGGGATGTTCACATAAGACATGTAGGAGAACTCCAGAGGACAAGCCCAGTCCAGGTCAGTCAACAACCAGGGTCCCTTGCTGGGTTTTGCAGCCCGGGGCTCACATTCCCAGGGCTGAGCCCCTTCCCCTCAGCACAGTGAGAGGACGGAATATCAGCCCCGAAGCTGCCACACTTCCCCTGGAACCCGTGGGGTTGGGGGGCGGGGCGACATGTCAGGTGGAGGAATTCAGGTACCCATCAGTCCCGGACGGCCTCTGCTGGGCACTTACGCAATCACAGGGTCCTTCAGGGACGCAGAGGAGCCAGGAGGACCAAGGTCTGGACACAGCATGAGGGTACTGCATGGCCACTGAGGCTTTGGGGACAGGGTTGCTGCCATGGAAAGTGGCCCCCCAGGAGCTGGAAAGGGCAAGAATGGGTGTCCCCAGAGCCCTGCCCACACCCGACAGAGGCCCGGGTGCGGGGGTCACATAGGCTTCCGTGGCATCTTTGGGCTGCTTCAAGCCATAATGCTTGTGGCAATTTGTCCAGAAGCCACTGGAAACTATGAAAAGGGACCAGGTCCTGTCTAGACGCCCAGGTCTTCAGAGCCCAGTGTTATGCCAGCGAGGTTGGAGCAGGGTCGGCTGCAGCAGAAAAGGCAGCGCCATGCTGATGAAGGGGATGGCTCCACCAACCTCCTTCTCCCCAGGAAGACAGTCTGAAGGCCAGAGGTGGGGCCACCACCCAGTGAGCACAAAGATGACAGCCATACTAAGGACAGCCCAGTATGGCACTCAGAGGGACTTTCTGTGACAGGAGGGCAGCACGTCCCACTGGGCCACTCTTGGGTCCATGACAGCTGCAGCACAACCCGGGGACTTGCAGCTCTTGTGGTGACAAGACAACACTGTAGTTCAGACACTCAGCCAGTTCCAGGCCATGGGGACACCCAGGGAGAGGAGGCCAGGGTGCTGACTTCACATCAAGTCACGCTCCCTGGCCAGTCAGTCACAAGGGACCGTTGCTAAGTACCAGGGGCCCAGGAAACGCAGCAAGGGTTGAGGCCACACGACCCCAGGGCATGGCTGTTAGCTGCCACATCAGTGCAACCAGCCACAGCCATTTGCAGCCACGGCCACAAGGCACCACAGTCACCTCCTGCTGCGGCACAGACACAGGTGTGTGCGTGTACACGTTTATTGCATACAATTCTTCATAGCACTTTTCCCCATAATGCAGAAGAAAGGAATTCCAAAAGATATTTCATTGTGCTGTTTTTAAAAAAAATAGAAAAAAGAACACAGGATCCCGACATACATTAATGCACAGAAATACATACGACCTGGTGGCCAGAGCCCGTGGCTCCATTCACTGGCACTGACAAGTGTCCACAGGAACGGATGAGAACTTTCAGTGGGGGAGCATGCGGTGGAAGCTGTGTCCCTGGAGGCTTGTGGTGACGCAGTGACCCAGAGTGACACGGAGTGCTTGCAGGACCCCACACCAGACCCTAATTAACATGAAGACATTTTAACTGTCAGAGTGTTGTGCAGAGACCTGGGAAAGGCTGGAAGCCGCCAGCTCAGCAGAAGGAGCTCCCGCCACTGGGTGGTGCTGGCTGGCTGGAGTGTGACACAGGGCTCCACTGGAACAGCACTCTGTCCATGGCAAGACAGGGCACAAAACTTAGCCCAGGAGGAGTCCACGCCATGCCTGGTGCTCCCTGGACAGGAGGCCTGGCGGAAGCCAGGAGCCAGGAACCAGGAAGACAGATTTGCACCTTCACAGAGCAAAACAGAACCTTGACTCTCAGGAACACTGTCACCAGGATGGCAGGCAGCTCGGCCTGCATCTCAGGTCACCTCACTAGATAAGCATGTGAGGCCATGTGCAGACCCCTGTGTTCAGAGAGCAGGGCTGTGCACTGCCCACATGACCTTCTAGCCTTGGGGGCATATCCCATCCTGGTGCCCAAGGCCTGGGTCCCAGTGCATTTAACTCGGACAGGGGTGCTGCTTCTCGAGCTGTCAACTCCTGATGCAAACGTTCTTCTGTGCAGGCTGTGGTTTCCAGGTGTTTTTGAGGTTTTTGGGTATTTTTGTTTTTTTTTTTTTTTTGTAGCACTGGGGTTTGAACTCAGGGCCTCACACTTGCTAGGCAGGTGCTGTCGCTGCTTGAGCTATACCGCCAGCCCTCCAGATGTTTCCAGGGTGCACAGTCACAGTGCACAAGTCGGAGTGACTCAGAAGTCCCGAAGCTCAGGGATGTCCCGGTACAGGTCCAGGGTCTCGGGGTTGGAGAAGGCCCCGCGGTGCTCCACGGCCTTCCCCGACATGACCTGCTTCACGGCCACCTCCACCTTCTTGCCGTTGAGCGTGTACTGCAGGAGGGGCAGGAAGAAATGGAAACAGCCCTTCACAAGCTGCAGGGCCCAACACACCCGCAGCCTGCCACCTGCCACTCAAACCCGGAAGGACCCAACTAGCCCCAAATGCGGAAAGCGGCCAAGTCAGAGCTGCCCCTGCCCCCGCGGTGCCCCGCACCCACCGCTGTCCGCTTCAGAAAGGCAAGGTCAACACCAGTGTCACCGCCCGCACAGCCAGGCCACACCCGGACTGCCTCCGAGGTGCCACCAGGGCCACGAGAGCACGTTAGTTTCCCATGCTGCACACTAGTCAGGCTACGCTCCGGCTGCAGGTGTCACAGCCAGCTGGCCCTGGGGAGGGCATGCCAGGTGCCACTCGGTCCCCGATTGAAGAGGAAATTGTGCTGTCTCGGGGCATATCCCAGCTCAACCCGAGGAAAGTCTGCAATAAGGATGTGACTTCTGCCACCACACACAGGGGACTTTGGGCAAATTCCTCCACTTATCCCGAGAGCCCCAGGCAAGGCACATGGGTCACTCCAGGCAGCCGCGTCAGCGCCTGGCTGTCCTAGGAACAACGGTTTGGTTTTACTTTTATTTCCATTTATTTCAGCACAGGCGTTTACGCTGTCACACCTTCGCGCCCTTGCTTCAGGAGAGGACTGGCCTCCCAGGACCGCGTCCGCGCCCTCACCAGCCTCCATCGGGACCCCCACCTGCCAGGCCCTCGGTTACTCGTTCTAGACATGCAAAGCTCCCTCTACACCGCATGCCACGCGTCTTCCCTCCTGAATCCAAACCCGCTTTGGCAGCGCTGGCGCGTATATGGATGGGCCGGAAGCTTCTAAGGCCACCCGCGCTGGTTTTGTTTTTAAACTGAGATGTCATTAACGCTCATTCAGTCAGCAGGTGACGTAGCTAGGGCCTAAGCCTGTCCCTTCGGAATGGGTCACCGCGCTCACGCTCTGCCAGCCTCACAAGCTTTCTCAGTCACCGAGCTCTGCACACCACTTGGCGTGCAGCTCGGACCCTCCGTCTGCTGAGGTTACGGCAGGCAGTGTTGGAAAAGGAACCCAGCTCCGGCTCCTCTGGCAAGAAGGGCGGGGAAGGCAGGGGCTCCCTGGGCCTCCCAGCAGGCGGGGACTGAGCTGCGACCAGAGCAGAGGCCTATGGAATCAGGGCCGAGGTGGCTGCCTGGGACCTGCAGGGAGACCCCTCCATGCCCTGAGCTGTCCTGTCGGCCACAACCAACCAACTCTGCAGCTCTGTATTTTGGGTGAGTGCCAGGCAGGTCATATTCTGGATGCCATGTTTTCAGACAGGACCCCCCCTTGAAGACAGGCTCGCCCCAGCCCAGAGGGTGTCAGACCAGCTCACTCATCTACTCTTGCCAGGCACACAGGCACCTGTGTGCCAGCAGCTGAGGCAGAAAGAGGGAGAGCCGCCCAGCCCCCGGCAGAGTGCACAGACCGTACCTCCCGCTGGGTGACAGAAGCCAGGGAGAGCCTGTGACGTGAGCGAGCGAGAGCTCAGAGGGCTGGCTCACTGACAGGCAGGGGGCGGCACGCAGAACCACCGGGTGGCCCTCGGCACTACCGGCAGCACTGCTATTTCAGAGATGAGGAGGCCAAGGCTTGGAGGTGCTAAGTCAGCTGTTCAAAGCTCCAGAGCACTGAGATGGAGGAAATGCCAGCACCAGGCAGGAAGGACAAGCAGAGGCTGCTTATCCCCAGGATTCCCTTCCGTTCTCCTCCCTGGGGGGGCAAGTGTGCCCATACTACAGACGGATGAGAGAGTCACTCAGGCCAGCACAGGCAAGTCTCCTCCAAGGATGCTGAAGGTCCCTTCAATGCTGCAGGTAGAGCCCCTGTCCTGGGCACTGTCGGGCACAGACAGGAGCCACCCCACCCACTATTCCCACCACCAGTGGCCCTCACCTGAGGCTGGGCGCCCTGGACTCAGCTGCTCAATGGGCAGGGGCGGCTCACTCCCGACAGCCCCAGAGGGAGAGCCTGACCCACAGGGCCCCCCTGCCTCTACAAGACCCCAACTTTCCAGACGGGGCCTCTGCTGTCCTCTCCTGAAGTGAAGAAAGGAAGTGGGGACAGGTGGTGTCCTCCCCTGTGGGCTGCCAGACCCTCCCAGGTCTCCCAGGTGTTCTGTTGGTCCAGACCACAGTGGGTCAACACAGTGGCTCCAAAAACCAGCAGCGCCTACATGACTTCCCAAGTGCTGCTCGGGGCGGTGTGGGGAGGGAGAGGCTGGACCCCAGCCCTGTAGCTAGGGACAAAGGCCAGAGGGGAGGGCGGGACGTGGCACGTCTGATACACTGCATCTCCCACGCTCAGCATGGAGCAATTTTGGAATAACCATCTTTCCAGCAAAGGACACAGCTCTTCTCAAACAAAGCCAAAGGGAAAGCACTGACTTTCAACTCCCTAAAATACTGCAGGTGTGGACAAGTGGTGTACCAAAGGGACATATCTAACCCTCACCAGGGAGGGACAGCAGGGTCAGTGAGTGGAGAAGTGCCTGCCCCACAAAAAGGGCCACATGTCCACAGAACATCACCAGTCACCACCTGGGGAGTGCTCCCAAGCCGTGAGGTGTTCCCCACATACACCGAATGAGAATGTGTGTGCCATGCTGCTGAGACAAGGAACCAACGCCGAGGATGCTGATGGAGGTCTGGGAGAAGGAAGAGGAAGCAGGTGTCCCAGTGGAGGGAGGAAGGAAAGGGAAGAGGGGCTGGGCAGCAGGCAGCCGGCACACTGAGCACCACGTGCACACAGTAGGTGTGCCAGCAGCATCGAACGCACGCAGCAGGTGCCGAGGACCCTCCCCGCAGACAGAAGGTTTTGAAGGAGCCAAGCAAAGAGAGTGAGCATTGTGAAGTCAGCGACCTCAGGGCTCTCCACACGCTCCAAGCCATGGTCAAGGACCGCCTATCCCAGGGCGCCTCACACACTGGGCTCCAGATGGTGTCACAGCGCCTGGCTGCAAGCCCAGCACACTCTCGCCCTCATTTCTAATGTGCATTGGGCCTGCAGGCTTCAAATACAGGCAGCCTTGTTTAAATAGTTGTGTGTACACATGTGCACACGCACTCACAAGCACACCTAGTGGCTTCTCTTGGTTCACAGAGGCACCGGCTTTGTCAGCCATGCAAACGAGCACCGAGACCATCTGGGGGGCACCGAGACCATCTGAGGGGCACGGAGACCATCTGGGGGGCCTGCTCCCGGACGGGCATGAGCGGTGTGGACATGGGGAGCCTTCTGAGGACCCGCCTCCAAGCACACCCAAAGCTGTTCCCACAGAGGGAATTCAAACTGAAAAGGCCAAGTAACGGCACCCCAGCTTCCCTCAGAGCTAAGCTGCCCATCTGTAACCTCGAGGGCACGCTGGCCACCAACCCCCAGCCCCAGCATAGCGCCACAGAGGGATGAAGGCACTCTGTCACCGCGGCAGAGTGGCAGGAGGGGCATACCGGGATACCCTGGGTTTCCAGGATAAGGCTGGGCACATGGCGCGCAGACAGGCCAACGCGGATGGCATCACGGATCTGCTTCACCAGGTCTGGCCGGAAGGAGTGCCCGGAAGCCATCTTCAGGAAGAGGATCACCCTCTCCTCACCATCCCTGTTGTACTGGGGCACACAGAGGCTGTCCCCCACCTCCTCGAAGGCTTCCACTGTGGAGACAGCAAAGGCCCAGTAGCCTGCAGCACTCACACCAACCCACAGAAGAGGGGAGGGCGCCAGGCCACCCAGCCTGATGTGGAAGACCATGTCCTTCCTCAGTCCACCCGAGAGTCCTCGAGGACATCCGCCAGGGCACAGAACAGCCACTGCTGAGAGGCAGAGCTCCAGCTGTACCAGGAGGCCAGATGCCCATGGTGGAGACCCCACGAGTGAGGAGGGGGTGGGGGGCACATAGGGCTGACTTTCCCACCTCAGCTGCAGACAGACACAACTGATATAAGCACCATGGGGACACTGCCACCCAGGAAGGGTGACCTGGGCTGGACCTAAGTCCCTGGACCAAGCAGCTGGGGGGCCCCCAGGTAGCCTAGGCAGTCGTGAGAGCCACAGGGCCACACTATCGGCGCGCAGTGTCCACACGCAGCTACCAGTGCGGCAGGTGTGTTCTGGAATGCCCGTCCTCACCCAGAGCTCCGCCCAAAGCAGGGCCCGGGGCCTGCAAGGTCACCTGACGTCTGCGTACCGATGTTGTAGATCTCCGAGCTGCCAAAGCGTACTCCATTGGGGTTGAGCGTGCCGTCACTGCAGAGGGGATGAGGAATGCAACACTAGGGAGCGGGTGGGCAAGGGGCAGGCCACCAGTCCCACAGTCTCACCTCTGATCAATAGTCCTCTCTCTCTCAGTTCAAACCCAGGCATCAAGAGGTCCCCTGTAGGGAGACATCTGCCACCCCCTGCCCCTTTCCACCCGTACATGTGTCTGTCCCTCCCTCCCTGCCAGGGACAAGGCCAGGTGAGGTCCCCAGGCCAGTGACAGACACTGGTGCACCTTTTCTGTGGGTCTCCCACCCTGACACCCACCACTGCAGGGCAGGGAAACATGAGTCAGACCCAGACCCAGCCCTGCCCCTTGCAGGAAGAGCGACAAGGACGCCCGCTGCAGGAAGGCATAAGATGGGGACAGTCCACCATGTCCCACACTGAGCAAAGAGAGGACCTTTGGTTGCGGGGGAGGGGGCAGGATGTGCCAAGGCCAAGGTGGGAAGGCACACAGCTCGGATGGAAGGGAGGGTGCGAGACACCCCACACTGAAGCCGGGGGGGAGCCCAGAACAGGGTGGGACCTCTCACAGGAAGCACCTGCCCAGACACCAGCAGAAGGGCCCCAGGGGAGAACGGCAGCCACCCGCCTCACCTCCGGCCCAGCATGGCGATGCCCCCTGTCTTGGGGTTGATTCTGCAGTAGTCACCATGAGCCCAGACACCTGCAGAGGCAGAGCAGCTCGGTCACCCCGAGGAGATGGGCAGTCACCCGAGCCAGGCACAGCTGGTGTGGCCAGGCACAGGGCAGAGCTGGCGGCGGGGTATGGTGAGCCAGCCCCTCCTGCCCCAGGAGCAGCTATGCAGCATGGCGTGGGTCGGGGGTTAGATCTTGGAAGGGAAGACACAGCAGTGTGACCAGTCCAAGCATGTGGGTGAACCGCACCACGTGGACAGAGAGCCAGCTAGCAGGCAAACCTGGAGAAGAGGAAGGGCCAGAGGAGCCTGCACACAGCACTGCCCTGAGCAGGCCACACAATGGCTGTGTGCAGCTGGGCTCACAACGGTCACAGGGAGGCTGACGTCCTGGGTGCAGCAGAGCGACCAGACCCCAGGGGGTTAGACTCTTAGCAGTGAGTGTAGCTTGCCGTTCAGCATGGGGAGGGGGTGGGTGGGCTCTGTGCCACGCCCTGCTTTGAATCCTAACAGTACAGCAGCACCCTGGAGAGCAGTGTCAGGAGTAAGGGGACCAGTGAGTGCCACCTGCTGCAGATGTGCACAAGAAAAGCACATCTCAAGGCTTTGACTTGGCGACGAATCACACCAAATTTGCCCACTCCCTCAGCTTCCCACAGGCATCCTTGGAAGCCCCTGCCCCTCCCACCCATCCTGGAGACCCTTAATCTCCAGTTCATCCTGTCTCAGTAAACCCAGGGCCTACCCACCGGCAGGCTCGCTATCTGACCACAACGATTCACACGACACTGCAGAGAAGTGTGACAAACATGACCCACCCGTCCATGGGGACAGAGGCCACAATGCCTATGTAGAGTCTGTGGTCCGTGGGACAGAGTGAGGAAATCGAGGCAGGAGCCACAGGCTACAGAACACCCAGGGCTTTCTTTGGGATTCACTCACTAACAAGAAAGAAATCCCCCAGGGGTGGCTTGCAGATGGTGACCCTCAGATAGCCGGGTTACGCACGGCACCTGGAATGCCAAGGGAGCTGCCAGGACACGTCTGCTCTACAGCCTGGAGACCCTTTTCCACTTTGGGATGTCAGGGCCTGGACCAGTGACAGGTGTGCATGACATTAGGTCTTCCCTGAATTTGGTGGAAGTTTCTGGGTTTTCTGGGCTGTGCCCTAATTACCGAGGCCCTGAAAACACAAAGGAAGATGCAAATCCACACTACAGAAATTCTCTTCTGTGATGACCTCCCTGGAACACTGAACCTCCAGCAAAACAAAGCCCAGCGGGCAGGCAAACCCCCAAGGGACTGCTGGCTTTGACGCCCGCATAGGAAACACATCGATGTCACAAGCAGCAAAAGCACTACCTGTCCCCAGTGACCTCAAGAGACCCCAATCACTCTGGTTCTTCAAAGCAGGGACTTCAGCTCAGAGTTTTCTGGAAGCTGAGGCAAAAATGGAAATACAGTGCGTGTGAATGACGGCAAGTGACACAGACACACCAGGCCTTATCTCTGTCATCTGCCATGGTCTAAGTCTTGGTCTGCTTCAATTTCTTAGTGTTTATTAGGTTTTTCAATAGTAAAGAGCCGTAAAGGAAATGAGTGGGGTGACTCATGTAGCCTCTGCTCACACCCTGAATGTTTTCCCTTTTCTCCTTGCGCGGTCTGGGGTTGAACTCAGGGCTTGGATTGGTGGGCGGGGCTCTGCCACTTGGTGCAGCCCGACACATGGTTCTTTTCTTCAGTCACACAAACACGAGTCTTCTTTCTAAAGTTTACGTGAGAGGGTCACCCTGCCTTGTTCTGAGCCCTTGCATTTCCCTCAGTGTCTCAGCTGTCTCTCTGTCCCAGCCCCTGGCCTGCCTGCCCTCCACCTGGCATCGTTCTGAAGGGACTCATGTCCGTGACTCTCCTCCCGGTGGGGGAGAAGGCTCTGCTGCATCGACAGCCATTTCCTGCAGCCCAAGAGCCTCTACACAGTGAACAACCAGTGCCCACTGTGTCCACGGCCAGAGGCTCAGATCCCATGACCTCCTCTTCTGGGTCTTTCCTTATTTCTTCATCCCCACCTGCCCTCAGACACTATCTGAGAAACCACTTTACACAACTTGTAAAAGTGGACACTGTGGAAACATTACTTAAAGGGATAGAAGGACTGTTACAACAAAGCAATGGTCTCAGCTCTGAGTCTCCTGGCAGCCAAGGCAAAAATGGAGATACGAAAGGTCCCAAAGTATTTCTTCCTTCCAGAGCTTCAAAAAGAAAGCCTTATTCTGAAATTAACCCTAAGATACACTATCACATGAATCCTTATATTTGTGACAAAACATGCCAGAAGAGGCCATTTTCAAAGCGCAATACTGCAGATAAAGGGCTGTCATCTCTTAGATGGCTGCTCAAGCCGAGGCCCTAAACCTTTGAACACGCCCCAGTCAGAAACCCAGCCTCTCCTCAGCGTCTGTGAAGATGGCTTCTCAGCTGATCTGCACTGGTCTACACAGCCACACCTGGCAGGAGCCAAGGTGGGTTAGCCACAGCCAGAGTTCAAGAGGTGGGCAAGGTCGCGCAGGGAAGCGGGAGGGAGCCGCGGCAAACTCCGTCCCCACAGTCGGCTGCCGCACTCGGGTTCTGCTCGTGTGCTGTACACCTTCACCTCACCTTTCTGGAGCCTGGAGAGCGAGCAAGCACTTAGCATAAACAGCCTGGCGCTGACTATCAAAGACAGAGCTGGGGCTTCAGGAAGGAGACAGGAGGCTGGGCCTTAAAGAACAGCCTCCCCGGCCTCGGGTGCAGCCCCTTGAAGACGGACGGCTGGGGTGTCCATCTGCAGGATGGTCATATCAGCCCCCACAAAAGTGCTCTCCTCCATCATCCCGGGCCTGGAGGCCACACAGAGATGGAAAGAGACAAGACAGACACCTCTCCAGGGCCCTCCCTCCGCCCCCACGGACCCCCAGTGGCCCAGCGGGCTCCCAGCACAGCTCGTGGCCGGGAGGCTCTGGTACAGAGGTAGGGCAGATAGCCCAGAACCCAGATTAGTTTTAGACCATGGCTTCATGAGGACGAGCAGACGCTGATCAAAACCTCACTGCCAGCCCCAGTGGGCGGAAGGAGCAGCTCACAGCCCCTCAGGACCTCAGCCACAGCAGCGTGGATGGCTTGGCCGGAGTGTCCCACTCACCTGGGAATTTGGAGAAATACGCCTTCCTGTACTTGCTCCCGTTCTCGTCGTTCCAGAAGTGCGTGGGTTGGCAGGGGATGGGCTTGGTGCACACCAGCTCGCCGCTCTGGCCCCACACCGCCTTTCCTGGGGGACAACAGTGGGGTGAGCCCAGCACACATGGCACATCTCTAAGTGACCATGCACGCACAATGGTGCACACACCAAAGGAGGGATGACTCACGCCCACGGGCCTTGAACTGCAGCCCCTCCCTAAGTGGACTCTACCCCAACCTCCACCCAACCTCACCCAACCCCAGCCTCCCAGCCTCCAGCTGCCAGCCCACTCCCATATGTGCTCCAGCCTGATGCCTGCTTTTCGGGGCTGAAGACAGAGAGGCCTATGGGTGTAAACCAGGCTTGGGG